CTATGCCTAATTGGCCATTCAACTTCAATTATGCCTTTTTGTTTGCATATCAATGCCGAATAATGTCGTCATTGGGCGTGTCCGTTGTGTCGACGTCACGAACACACATCATATCCCGGCTTTCGGCACATTAGCACGTTTTCGAAGTCTATTCTCATAATGGATTCTGTTGGTCTGATGTGAATGTCGTCTTGTTTTGTGTGCATCTTACTACTCTTGAGATTTCAGAAACATGCGTCGCTTGTTATTCCTTTTGTATTGTGCAATCGCAACTGCTACAGTATCGCGAAAGCAGGATACACACTCGGATATCACCAAATTCACAATTCAAATGATAGGATACTCTCCAGAAAGAGTGAGTGGTAGTTCAGCTTGTTCTTTTTCAACTTATGTCGACTTCTTTTTCTTTGGCATGTTGACGAAACCCGCTGTATACGCATGTACCCAACTTTTTTCTAAAACTTTTCCTCTTTTTTTTCATCAATTTCTTACTTCATTACAAACTTTATACTATTTCCTACAATACATAGATTAGTAACCTGACAATAGCACAGACTAATCAGTACGAGTCTTCCTTGTGGAAAAATACGTGTTTCCGCGCTGTCGCTAGTGTGTTACAAGTGCTCGTGCTTGGTCTCATGCAACGCTGTCCTTTGAAACGAAAGGGAAAGGGGTTTCACCCAGTAAAAGGAAATGTGTTGCGAGAGTTGCTGCCGCCTATAGAAATTCCATCTTTTGCAGGAGAAGGAAATCCCCGAGATGCGTGAACCGTTTCTCTTTCGGTTTCACACCCACCCCGAAGCTGCCTTCCCTCCTGAACAAACATGAAAAGGCCTCATGAAGTTCCCCTTACTTCAGTCAATCATTGATTGATCAGCCTACACCTGTGGTTTGCTCCGAATAATAATATTTTCATACTTCTTCTAGTTTCGATATATATCAGAAATTCGTGACCGTATGAATACTTCCACCATGTCCAGCGAAACACCTCTGCGTAATTCTCAGCTCGAACGCACTCGTTTTGTACTGCTCCCACACTCTCTCCCCCGATCTGGGGCGCGGCCGCGCAGCGCGACCATTTCTATGCCCGCCACACTGGCTTAATGGACCGTTTGCAAGTACCCTACCCGCACAGTCCGGCACTACCAACTCGTCGCGCGCTACGCCGCGGCCGCGCCCCTAATCGTTGAACAGAAGTGGGGACCATTTGTTACTGCCCTTCTGCACTAGTAAACGACACCACACATCTTTTCGACTAATATCCAACCTAGTACGCCCACACTGTCCAATTCCTGCTACCGTAACCCTTCAATGTGAAGCGGGGAATCCGTGAGCCAGGGGCAGTGTCGCCAGTCTAGGGGGGTGGGGGGTGAGGCACTCACTTGACATGCGTGAGAAGCTGGAATGTTCGAATTCAACCGCGATCACATGGGATCCCCGCGGGTTAAGGCAGTGGGTCCCGCAACGCAATGGCGCCCTATACTAGTCATAGATTAACACCCAATGATCATCCCTCTATGCTCTAGATACTGTCCTGAAACACATTTTAATGCAGCCGCAACGATGCTCCATCCTAATTTTGCCCCTTCTTTAGGCTAGTAGCTCCGCGCCTCCTATCGATTTTATGATTAGAATATTCTTGAAACCGGGACATTTCTCGATCTTTTCTGAGTTTACAGCTTTTTCACAACCAATGAGTCTCACTCTTTTGTAAATCGAATTTCCCGATCATATTTTAAAGCAACAGTCCAGGCAGGGTTTCAACTACTTGGTCATTAGGCGGTCAAAACATGCCCCAGCCCAACTAAAGTTTATAGGAAATGTCTTTAATTCAAAACCTACCTCTAAAATGCGCTGGAAGGGGTCGAAGTCCTCTTGGAGGGGGCGGATCACCCATAAAGAGGCGGATCGCCCAACATACGCTGTGCAGAGTCCGTGCTTGACTAGCGGTCGTTGCGGGACCGCCGCGCTGTATGAGGTCGATTCCATAAGAACGCAATTGAAGCGCTTCAATTTCGATTGCTGGCAAATAGTTATGTATTTGCAAGCATGCATGGCTATTTGCCAGCAGTTGCAATTGGAGCGCATGTACTACGGGCAGGTTCGGACAACTCGTCCAACACACGTCTCCCTAAACGGCAGGGGAGTCCCTGCTAAGCCCCTGCCCGACCCTCACTCATTCACTACAACCAAATAACATATATACATCAAAATATACATACTGAACATAAAAATAAGACATACATAGATAATAACACATCAACAGAAAACAATACAAGTATAACTAAAGGATAGATTGCTTTAATTTTCATATTAACACATAAACAAAAAAACAAATATATCATCCGACACTCGTACGCAGGTGAATAATGCTAAAACTCCCTCAAACAGAGACCTAATCAACACATCAACAAGCTTATAATAATATCAGTCTCACAATAAATATTTCAAACAAAAACTTCTATAATATATTACCATAGAGAATATAAAATAATAAAACATACCAAAAATCATAATATTAGGAACAACTCCTGAAAAAAAAATATATAATCATATAATAAAACAAAAATAAATAAACAATATTAACATTATACATATATAATATAAGATCAATAAAGAGATAACGACGTGCCGTACAACCATCGTACCACGTAACCCTCACGACACACACCGAAGCACCCGCACCGAACGCCCCGCCCGCGCCCCCAGTTACTTCGACTTCCACTCTATTCCACCGGAGCTCTCATTACTACTACACAATCCTCAAACATTACTTAGCAATAGCTCATTGAACGCTCTGATTCTTAACGATGAATGGAGTTTCGCTTCGATTGCTGTCTACTGCTATGTAAAACATATCTAGTGATTGAATTTCATTAACCGACTATATCACCCACACAATAGACTTCTCTAATCACAATAGCACCGCCCCCGCCACACATCCGAACCACACCCACACTCACACCACACCATCTGGAACACTCACCTTCCTCAACCCCAACACCCACGCTCCCCACAACGCCGAACCATACACCCTACACCACCCCTCCTCTACGTAATACATGAAAGAAACTACCAGGGCACAAGAAGCAACCGTGCGACTATTTTCTGAAACCCCAAAACACCAATCAATTGCGCACATTATAAAGGATTTAGAGAAGGATTCAAACAAAACACAAACTTGCCAAATATACGCAGCACGCGGCATGATTATACAACATATCTCCCCACAGGATCACTATTACAGAAGCAACTGAATTCTTAGAGTATTTGCGCGTCCAAAACCGCCCGTCAGGACCTAAACTGTTGTATAACACAAAGAGCGCCACCAAATTTATCCCATTCTGTTTTCTTTTGAAACTAAATCTTTGTGTACTCTAAACAATTCAATTGACAATCCTGAACTATTTAAGAAGGCAACGGAACAACTTTGAGAAAGAAAAGCTGATCCATTACCATCTTTGTTTGTTCAATCTCCTCCTGTCATTTACGTAAGCCCATTAATCGACTGTACATACAAGAGGGTTGCCAAAAAGATGAATTCATTCCCATTTTAAAAAGATTGCATTCTTCACTGAGGTTGCTTCAGTTCTCTAGCATTCCCTAGTGCGGCAAAACAAAACTATTACTAAATGAACCGAACCTTTTATTGCTATATCCTAATAATAATTCAAGTTCTTGAGAGTGGATTCACATATCAGTGTCTGCTAGTCTGAAGTATTTCAGAGTAACCGGTACCAAAATCAAAACGTTTTCTGTTTAATCTTCACTAAAAATGCTATACCGCGTATTTTTATTTGGCCGGAACCCCTTTTTCACGAGGTCTCATAGACTTATGAAGGTGAAACGGAAATCAGCAATATTGTTCGAGCTGATATTGATACTAAACGTAAATCCAGGACCACCATGATGACTTGCCTTCATATCAAAAGTGCAGATTCGCTCCAATTGAATTGAAACGGAGAAAATAATTTTGAGAATCATGTTGTTCTATAATTACAGCAATTACTTAGACATTGAATTCCCCTGATCAACCGATTAATCCGACAAATTATATAGATTTCTGTTTGCCACAACTTAGCCCGCAGGACCTCAATGCCTTCTGTTTTTGAAAACATCACAGTGGTCCTAAATCATCACAAATCGAAGCTTTGTCAAGTCGTAGAAAAATGCAAATCACATCAGTGCAGCATTATACATGATGATAGCGCATGTGTGTGCTTCAGGAATCCATTGAAATTTATATAGAGAATTGGTTTCCATTCTTGGTGATTTCTTCAAGAGGAACTTTCTGCTCGATTAACTTCATATCGAGGCTTGTTCAACACGTTTGCCATTTAGTTGCGTGTCTGACAAGTTTTTCAGCTCATGCCGTATTTCAATAGTTATCATATGTGACAGAGCATTTTACGACTTCTTCTTAAGCTACAACATCGAGCACCATTCATTGAACAGAAAAAGAAAACAAGACGCGCATTGTTTCGCATGTTTTTCATACCTTTCTTTTCATCTGAATAGTCTAGAGCTGTTCTATTCGAACGCTTACCGTAGTATATAGAAATTTTGATCGATTGTTTATGTACCATTCAGTTAAGATAACTATGTTTGCAGGTGTGTGCAGTACCTTTCCTGAAATGATAGAAAGTTTTCAAACTAAGGAGTTTTGTACCAATAATCCATCTGCATTGCATCCTTCTTCTCACCCATCTTATTTCCTAAACTATTTCAGACTTGAGACTATCTGCTGTGTTCAAGGCAGGCATAGACATGTATATCGTGAGTAGATTGCCAACTGTTACCTCAAAGTTTTCTCTCCAATACTTGCGCTGAGTTCATAGCTTGGATATCGGAAGGCTCGAATTCGCATGTTCCCTCATTTTTCTAAGATTCTATTATTCTAAATTGGTCATCTAAATACGAAAACTGATGATCTAATTGGTTTCGGATTGCACGGTCGCATTTCACGAATGTTACAACTGTGAACGTTACCTTTTTGTTTAATGACACGATTTCTAGTCGGATTCGAACCACTTGCGAATGCCGATAGGATCCATCACATACTGCTGTTTGGGTGTACAGAACCTGCGCATGCTACTGGTTTTTGGAAAGGTGGTGAAGTTTGTTCCGGAACAACGCACATACTGTACGCTTGGGCTAAAAATGGTAAGTTCCTGACATTTGAGTTAGCTCCAAACTTTTTGAACAAGTAAGGGTGAAAAAAAGCCTATGTTATTCCGATAGATGTTGATTCAATGACACTGGAATTCATTTAAACCGGCTTCTTCGATTTCCAAAATATCACGACTCCTTCCCATATGTTTTTAATTTGAGCTAAAAAGCTAATTCAAATTCTTTAGCGTTAATTAAAAATATCGATTTAAAATATCGAATTCGAATTATCGAATCAATCAAATCAAGCTCGGAAGTGAAGAGCTAGATCCTAGATTGTAGTTTCAGGTCTAGTTATGTCACTACGTCACAAAGTCGGTGCGGCTATATGACTTTACACCAGACTGTTGCCCTATTTAGTTGTTTTAAGTTTCTATCATAAAACCTCCGGCGTTGTTATGAATTCTATTTCTTCTCTGCCAACCAGGTTTTTAGATGGGAAACTTCAATAATAGCTGGACGTTTTGACCAGATCATTTTCGTCTCAACCTTGAACCACGTTCAGACTTTGAAGAAGGTGATCTGGTCCAGGTGTCAGGCCATTCATTAAGTGTCCACTGAAAAACTTGAACACGTCAGCAGAATTAAATTAGAAGTTATCTTTCAAATCAACGAAGAATCCAATTGATCAATCACTTTTTCCCTATTTTTCACTCTTTGGAAGCTTAGCGCTGAACCCTGGTTCCGTGAAGTATGACCGTTTCCAACGGATTCCACCATCACCCGCGACTAACGATAAAAATTTCATCCGAACCGCGAAACAGCAATTGATATCGAAAGAAACGGCAATCATACAATGAAAACCAAAAAAACAGGATCACGAGAGTGGGTGGGGTCCTAGTGGTAGAGTCCTCGGGCCTTTGGCGACGACGCTGGATGAGGCGTATGAAGTCGGGATGGAAGAGGCGCGATTCCGGCTGCCCCTTCTGGGCTACTAAAGACAAGAAGACATCTGAGACGCGCTCCTCGCTCCCTTTTATCTTAACAATTCTCGCCGAAACTGCGCCTCCTGGGCGGTTGATCGCCCACTAACCTATCTGTACGGGTTCGACCTCCCTCATGACAAAAAGCCTTAAAAATACAGTAGTACTACATGCTTACTTTGACAAAAACGTTAATGTGTGTAAAAGTCGTCTCATCAGTTAAGGTGACATTAATGAAAGAAGCTTTTTTGATTCTTCATTACTGTTTCATTCTATTTGCTCATTATTTCTGCGGTGAATTCTAGCACCTAGCCTCGATCTTCCAAATAACGTGGGCTTCAGCATCGGCCACGAAAGTGACAACATTCGTTATCTTGTAATGCAAGTACGTATTTGATTCATCTTATTCACTGTTATATTCTCTTCGCACATACTTTCTCAATTCTGTCTGGTGGTTTTAATTTCGCTTTCAACCTGAAGGAAATAATCATATGTGCAGGTGCACTACGCGCAGCCGTTTGCTGGGGATGTGAAGGATTTCTCTGGTGTCACTCTACATATTACTCAAAAGCAACCTCAAAACTTGGCTGCAGTGCTATTGTTCGTCTCAGGAGAGTCTATCCCGCCTGGAAAAAGTCAAGTTCAAGTAAGTCTCACTGGTCACCTCAGGATTCTTTGAAAGCATACAATTCCAAATTTTTTCTCTCTGTAGATCAATGTTAGCTGTGAATATGGTGGAACAACAGAGATGCATCCATTCGCTTTCCGTACCCACGCCCACGCCATGGGTCGTGTTATTTCTGCTTTTTATAAACATGAAGGGCAATGGACTAAAATAGGAGTAAGGAATCCTCAGTGGCCTCAGGTATTTTTGAAGCTCATTCGCCATCTTGCAACATGTTACTATATTTGTAAGTTTGGAAGTCTTGTTACAGCTCTTTGAAAAGATAACTACCAGTCCGGTTATAAGAAAAGGAGATTTGATGGCCGCGACATGTCGATTCGACTCGCACGACAAGACGAAGCCAGTTGCTATGGGGTGGGTTCAAGTGAAATTACTTCCGAATTCGTCTATTTTGCGTGGATGGTGGTTGTTCGATTACAGTTAGACCAATTGTTTGAAGCAGCAACGCTTCGTCGAGGTCGTGTGGAAGGATCTTTCCCATGTATAGGATAAAGTTGCACACGTGGACTACAGTTGCGCCGTTGTCGCGGGGTCAAAAGTGCGCGACAATGGCGTTAGTGCCTTATGAAGTGAGATAATGAGAGCAATTGTGGGCTAGTGGACGAGATACATCACGAAACGTGGATTACGTTATAGCGGATAACGTAGCGAATAAAGACATAGATATGACATTTGCATCGCATTGATGCGATTGTTTCAAAAGCTCGTCTAGACACGCCTTTTTCTCGCCGTCATTACTAATCGCTCTTACCCAACCAGTTTGGGGGATTTTGCTTTAATACTTAATTTGTGCATCCCAATGGGTAGAAAAGAGGAACATGCATCATCAGCGATAAGTCACATTTTCCAGTCGTCAAACATTTTTATTCCTAGTCCCTTCCCATGGTTGAGAGGAATGGCTGTTGGCCAGTTGTCAAGATACATGTCTCCGGGAGAGCGCTTGAACTTTGCAGCAACTTGCAGACGAAGTGCCAAAACAGTAAAATGCGGCGTGAGAAGCAAAAAATGCATCTGCCATCGTTTGTTTTGTTTTAGGCCTGAAGACCTTTAAAAACAGTGTTGACGAATTTTATATAGGAAGTGTATGTTGTTTGCACCTATGAGTCCGAAGTTTGATAAGAGCGTGCGGTACCGGGGTGTCAGTTCGCAAGTGTTTACACTGTCGGAACCTCCAATCCACGGTCGGTGCTCCTTTCTACGGACATTCATTGGATGGAGAATCATCCTTTTCAAAACCAGGGATCAGGCAGTGGTAAATAATAGTAATCCGCGAGGTAGCGCGACGATTAAATATAGTATTAGGTTGTCTCAATAAATACTGTCGTATTTTTTCAACCAAAAGATTTTCATCTGAAATCCCCATGCTTTACATCGTTTTATATACCATTCGAAAGAGAATCGTCTGCTCTACAAGATGCTATTCCACTTCCACCTCTGTTCCAGGGTTTTCAAATTTTAGGCCTGCGAAATGGGAGGTCCAGCCGACAAAAATTGACCAAACCGACAACTATCTCTAACTTTATCTTCCCTTGGGAGAAATCAATCAATGATGTACCCTCTACTTATGCATGACCTCTTCTGAACATTACACTATTAGGTTTCCCAACAAGTCGCGTCGTTCCATTTCCAGACCTGGTTTTTCAACCAGAACTCGACGGTCGAGCACCATTACCTGAGATCTGGTCGAAATTTTTTTTATAGCCGAGACATTGAAAAACTAGTAGAATTTAAGAACAAGTCATGACTAAGTTAGGAATGTACGCCTGGTTGATTTTCTCATCTTCTCAGGGATAATTTTTTTCAAAGAAATGTGGTCACTTTCGCGGTAAAGCACCTTATACCGAAACATCTAAAATTCGAACTAATTCCCAACAAACAGAGAAACAAAACAAATGAGCGAGTAGAGCAGAAGAAGTGCTCGTAAAAGGAACACCACTCGATATGAAACAATGACGTTTACGAGGAACAATTTTAATTTGAAAATTGCTATGGCTTATCCGTCAGCCAATTCGAAAAGAAACACGGCAAAGCTTTTTCGGCAACCTAAGAGTGGAATGTTTAGAAGAGGTCATGAGTAAGTAGAGGGTACATCATTGATTGATTTCTCCCCAGGGAAAATAAAAGTTAGAGCTAGTTGTCGGTTTGGTCAATTTTTGTCGGCTGGACCTCCCATTTCGCAGGCCTAAAATTTGAAAACCCTGGAACATAGATGGAAGAGGAACACAGCATCTTGTAGAGCAGACAATTCTCTTTCGAATGGTTATAATATAATGCGATGTAAAAGCGTGGGGACTCAGATGAAAATCTTTGGTCTAAAAAAAGCGACAGCTATTTATAGACTAACGTCTACCATAAATGGTGCTAATAATAAGGTAAAACAGAAAGAATTTCGTACACGTTTCATCTTTCTCGCGCTTCGGCCAGGAGAAACTGCTGAGTTTTGATTTTGATTTTTCACGTAATCATAATTCACAAGGAAGCTTGCATGTTATCTCATGGTTAGCTTAGAATGTAAATCTAGAAAGTAATTTTGTCTACGCTGTGTACCTGTCTTTAGCCTGCACGGTAACAACTTCGCGTGTATTTGCGGATCATCTGTTTCATAGCTGCTGACTTGAAAGCTGTTATATGTCTTCTCGTCCATTGAACGCATGACATTCTCGAGAGCGGCTGAATGACACGATGGGTAGTCTTTTTGAGCCCTTCTCTTCATGTCGATTGGTACATGCTGGTCGTTGTGTGTTTTTGAATTGTGCTGAAGCCTCTTCAACTGGTTGCTCGCATGGCTGTCTTATTTTGTCAATCCTGTCAAGGATGATTCATGTGGAGTCTGTGAACTTCAGACAGCGGGCACGTTGGGCCATAATTGCCAATGCCATGCAGATTCCTCCTTTGTATAACAACATATTTCTGATTTCTCGTGGGGTGGGCACCTTTTGGCTGTCGCGACATGAAACGCGTAAGTGTGAGTGAACCAGACGCTCTATTTTGTGGCATATTTGGCAATTGGCAATTCTTCTTTTTCAAGACAAGGAAATCTTCATTCTGAGACTCCCCAATGCCGCTACGATGGATTCCAAAAGAAGCGGAACTGTTGGAGTGCTCAGGCTTCATTTCTTTTTCAAACATTGCTGATTATCTTCAAACGCAACGGAAATTTCCTCGGCCAGTCAAGGAGAAACATCTGAATGGCCTGAAAACCTACTTTTCTACTTCGTAAATGGATTTGTATCAATATATGTCTTTGCCCGAAGTTGTATCAATTCGCCTAGCGTTAGTCGGGAAGAATCCCGCAGTGTGTTCATGTCGTTCTTTGTAGGTATGGGAGTAAATTGAGATGTGCAACTTTGATCTGATGTCTAATGGATGCTTCAAGGAGAATCCATTCTCTGCATGTGGAGGTGCAATGCAGCAATCCACGAAAGGTAAATTTTATTGTGGAGCTGCGTTCATTGAAAATGTACATCTCCTTTACGTGAGGCACGAGATGATAGCCGATACCCTAAAAGGTAACGCAATCTACTACGGTCCTGCGTCCTGATCTTGAAGCATCATGGCAGCGCCGAGCAAGTTTGTCATCAACTGTTTGACTGATGCTAGTATTCTCCCTTCCAGTTACCTACAAACGCATTATTCCGATGTAGTGGGTGAATTTTTCATAAGTCCATTATCCGTATAGTTAGTTCTTGCTGCTCGTTATGCCATTTAGGAGACTTTTTCATAGGTGAAAGCTTTTTATTCACTCCGATGAAACGCATTCCGGGAGAAACCTCCCGATAAATGTGCTTGTTTTATGCGATAGGGTGTTGCAGTATGAGTGTCGCACAAATTTGCTCTTACATTACTTGACTAGTCTCTGGCGGCATACGATCTTCAAAAAAGGCATCCTGGAATTAAAGACAAACTACTTTTGGAGAAGTTTCGTATTCCGAAGTAGATTAACTAATAAGCCCTTAAAGTGACTAGAAGTGCATGGGACGCAGCTGCAGGCGACTCGCCAAGTTCCCGCATCCAAATGCGTCACTAAGGCGCTAGGGGCCAAGGACTTTGACACGCTCCACCTGTTGCGACACGCTCCGCCCACCGCTCGATATTTTGTCTGCGTCGCAATGCTGATCTGCTATGCTCTCTCTTCTCGGATTTCTCTACGCTCTCCGCGCTCACATTATCTCTCATCTCCCTGCCGGCCTTTTGAACTTCTCCGCAACGTAGAGCAAAAGGCTCGTATTTCCTGTGTATTTCACGAATTTTTTTCCTTTTTTCTCCACTGGCGGTCCACCTCCCCCCTACATCACATTTGAGTAGAATTACCTCATCAGTTTAAGCTTGAATCTTGCCTTTAACTCGAGATGGCTTGCGGTGCTGCCGAAAGGGGGCAGTGGTCGCCGGCAGTTATGCCATTTGGCGCGGCCACCGGTATGACTGCGAGTTCCCCCCGCCGTAAAAAATCAAGAACTAGAGACATTCTGTAGTTTCAAGGAATGCGGTTGGGAAGAGCCACCTGAGTGTGTTGTTAAAGAATGTGCGGTTCAGTATTTGAACGCTCATAGATATCATCTTATGCTTAGCTATAGGGCGCAGACGAGGAAATGTCGGGATTGCTTTCCGTTTCCCACCCGTACCACTTATTCCGCATATTGCAAGGAATTCTAACTATTGACAACACAGATTCTTCAAATAATTTTGCTGGGACATCGCTTGTAAGGCAGTTAGATGCCCTGGTTCATTTTGGTGTTGGCGTCATTTGGTGCCCTATTTGCGCCATTTTGGCACAAAAATGTTTCACCCTAGTCGATGTAAACTTCTGATCACGAACCTTTTGTCCATTTTAGTTGGTGTTGGCGCCGCTATGTGCCTATTCGGTTTCGGATTAACTTTGGACCAACTCCGAGATGAATGTCTTATTCGGAATCAGAGTACCAGCGAGGTTATATGTACAGCGATTTATCGAGATTTTGATGTTGCTAGTTGCATAGTGCCTCTTTGTATTTACTTACCCTCGGCCAAACAGGCCGTTAATACAGCAGCACATCTTACTGCGAGTATTCACCATAACGTAGCTACCGTAAAGTAGGTGCTAGGGCTGTGAATTGGAAAAAACCAACTGAAAAACATACTGGGACTGCAGTAACTTTCAAACATTGTACGAGTCCCTACCTGCCACAGAGTTAAGACATGTCAACGACTCTTTTCTCGCTTTCAAATAAAAATTCCTTTTTTTTTTCCAGGGCGGATGTCAGAGACTGAGAACATAGTGAAAACATGATAGGGTTAAAGCGCGACTAGGAAGGAAGTGCGACTAGAAACGCGAAAAACGAAATTAAAAAAATATTTTCAAATACTGAAACACATACTCTCTTCCGCGGACCGCTTTGTTTCCTTGACTGGAGGAGGTCTCGGCCTTATCCTAAGTCGCGCATATCGATTTATCGCGTTTCGTCCCCAGTCGCGTTTTTCCTCCAGTGCGTTTCCTGTCCAGTATCGCGCTTCCTCTGTGCTCGCGTTTCCTCTCTAATCACACCGTCTCTCTCTCCAGTCGCAAACTATGACACCTGCCCTAGCACAAGAATGTTATCTAGATGTGAACATAGTCTTTTTAATACCTGGCTGGTAGGAGGGCGTACATGTTAGTAAGGTGCCAGCAACCTCATTGCCATTCGAAAGATGTAGCAGCGCACCACTATTGTTCGTCCTGTCGGCTCCTCGTTCCCGTTGTGACGTCACAAACAAGTGTTTTGCCTTGTGTCGGCGCCCTCGATGTCAGAAGCCCACAGTGCTGCAGCTGAAACGATATGGGAAGTGGGGTTCCGCGCCAGGCGTTGCAGACATCAGTGATTAAGTGTCATCACACTGTAACAAGTACTACTCGTCCGTGTTGTCACATTTTTGAGCATTGACAAAAGGGTGGGACTGTTTTTATGCACTATTTTAGTATCCGTTCGGAGTCGTCGAGGTGGGTGCTATTACTGATGTCGACGGTGTAAAACTCGGTCAAGTTGCTGGTTTGACATTTTTGGATGGAAACGTCGTGATATTCCATCGTGCTGGAAGAAATTGGGACCAAAAGTACAGCTCATTTTGAGAAAAAATCTGGTCCTTTTGTACATTCCTAAGACAGTAACGATTTTTTTTAGCACTTTCGACCAGTATAATGTGCTCCTGGATAAAACACCTATAAATGACGATGTAATTGTGATCGCTGCTTTCAATGAGAATAAAGCCCACATGGTGAACAAACTTGGGAAAAACAAGTAGGTATTTGGTTTTGTAGGTTCTAACACATTTTGAGGATTTCGTAAGCTCCCTATTTTCAAGGTTCTATCTTCCTCATGGTATTCATTTTGGCAAAGACGGATTCCTGTACACTACGGATGTTGGCGCACATACTGTAGCGAAATGGAAAATAAATGGAAATGGTGGGACGTTTTGCATAATTTAGTCTGTTTATTCGACGATGTTTCTTCTGACTGGAATTGGGCTGGGCGGGGGAAAGAAAATCATGTTGTTCGAAGGTTTTGTGTATTATCGCTGCCTTTTACTTCTATCACTCAAGGTTGTGCCTTTCGTTCGCACTAAATGCTGTGTAACGGAAATTTTGAACTGAGTTATTCGAAACAGGTAGGTTGTATCAGCTTTCTAATGAAGTGAGCTGTTAAGACGCAGAGAGTACTGGTGCTTCAAAAATTTCTATGACCAGGGTATTTTCAGGGGATGCTAACCGCCTGGGGTGAGGGATATTGATTCGAAGTTTGGTTCTTAGTCTATTCAGATCATGAGGGTTCTGGCTCGCAATCACTTTCT